TTTTGTTTAGCCTTAGTGGAGTATGTCAATGAAATTGTGTCATAGTACATCTAAAGAAAAAAATATGTGAGTTTAAAAGAAAGCACAAACATGAAAACAGATCATTGTCAAGAGCCAAAGCAAGTGATAATAGATACTCCAAATGTGAAGACTATGGGCATGAAACTAATCAATGTCCTAATTGTTATCCAAGTTCCATGATTAATGGAGATTTCAAGAATTACAACATATACTTGAAAAAGAAGGAAAGAAAAACAAGAACAAAAGAGAAAACAGTTTGAATGCAATTAATTTTCATCTATACATCAATTTGAATGAGATTAGGAAACATTTAAAAACTTTGTAATTCTTTTTACTAATTTAAATTCGATAAGTTAACATAAAACCAAATTGAAACGAAAATGAACCTTTCGTATATAATTATATCGAATTTTGTTACTAACTGTCTATTGTGTAGTAAGATATGCATAGTACATCAATCAAGTTTGTGTGAGTATCACGTCAGCATCAATTGTTTAGGTTAAAAGAAAAAGGTTGCAACTTTTGGTACGTTGTAAAAGATTCCAACAGGAAGCTTATGACCCTGTGATGCAACTATGGTAATGTCACGCAGCAAACGACAAGGAAAAAAAAATTCGACTTGAAATTGGTATTTTTCGAAATAAATAAATATTCCATTGCAATAGGAACAAACTTTGATTCAGACATACTATTTTATGCTTTAATTCCCCCTCAACCGTTCATTTAAAATGAATAAGTATTTGTTCGCTTTGCCGAGGATCATATATAAAGTATCAATTATACGAGAAGATATCAATCAAGGTGAATGTATTCCATTTCATAATTATATATCATGTTTGAAATTTAGTGTACATGTCCAATTTTTTCATTTTATCAGTTGAGTGTTTGCACAACAATTTTTTTAAAAAAAGATTATATATATTTTAAAATTCAGTGAAATAAATGAGATTTTTTATTTTCGTTCATGTAAAAAAATTACGAATTTTGATTCCTAATATTATATGATAATAACTAATTATTTATATATTAAATAAAAGGTTACATACATTTCAAATGAAAAATTATAATATAATCTTAACATGTGTCACTTAAAAAAATATCCTAAGCTTCGTAAAATAAATATTATTAATCTATCGTAAAATCAATACTAAAGAATTAAAACAATAATTCACAAATTTGTAGAAATGAAAATGATGTAAAATATCTTTGATACAAGAAACAAAAATTCACATTATTTGTAAAAAAGGTAGTATCATAATGAAATTTACAGAAAATTTACCCGAGAGACCAATAATTTTGGAAGACTAAAAATATATTAAATTTTCTGCCAAAATTATTTTTGTAATTTTTTAGAATTTTCTTTTCATGAATTAATATTTTTCAAGCATACATTACAGTTGTATCTGTATAGTTGTTTCTCTCTGAAGTATTTTAACAAGAACCCTTGAATTTCGACCACATATGTATGCATTCTCTTTCAGATCCAGATATCATATATGTGGATCAAGATAATAAAAAAGTATACAAATATATATATATATATATATATATATATATATATATATATATATATATATATATATATATATATATATCAAAATTGAAGATAGTGTGAATCTGAGCAAAATCAGACATAGGTTGAGTTAGAGTTAAACTAGAACATTATCAAACTAGTTGAGATTTATGCAGGTTAATCTTAGTTAGGTCAAGTTCAGGTTATACTAAGATGAGTGAAGTCTAAATTAAGTTGAGATAGATTAGGTTAAAGTCAATTCAAGTTCTATTTGGACCAAGTCAAGTTGAGCCAAGTCCAATTTTGGTCAAGGCAAAGTCTGGTTGACACGAACTCGACTCATGTCACACTATGTTATGTTACAAACATGTCAAGTTGGTATAACTAGGCTTACGTTGAGTTAAACTAACATTATGTTTGATTTGAGTTAAACCCACATTAGGACAATTATAGTTAGACCTAGGCTAGACCATGCCAAGTCAAGCTCATGTCAGTCGATTCCAAGTTAGGATGGATATGACCTAATTAGGCTGAAATCATGCATGTTATTAAGTCGAGCCCAAGTTAGGTTACATCAAAGTAGGTTGGATTTGGCTAAGCTTGAATAAACCTAGGTTGGACCCAATTCAAGTTGAACTGGGTTGAGTTTGGCTAGATCGAGATGAGACTAAGTCGAGTTCAACCAAGGTCAATATAGGTCTTGCCTTGGCTAGCCCATGTTAGGTTGTCCTAGACTAGTCCAAGTTTGGATGAGTCAAACTTGGTTAAACTCAAGTTAGGTTTTATTGCGTCAAAATAAGATAAGTTAAGATTATATTGAGTTGGTTCAAGATCGGGTTAGACAAAATTGTATTGACTTAAGTCAAATTTAATCCAAATTAAAAAAGGTCAATTGGATTGGACTTTAATCATAAAAATTGAGACTAAGTTGAGTTGAGATGAGACAAGTTGGATCAAATCACAATTTTTCATATAATTTAATAAAAGCTATTTAAAAACTAAATTATAATTAATATAAATATTTAGAATAATTTATAATTTGAAACATTTTATAAACTTGTGTAATTCTAAAAATTATTTAAGAACTCGTTAAACTAAAGTAATTTTTACTTGAATCATAACCTATTTTATGGAATAACATAAAATATTAAGACTTTTTTAACCTAGTAACTTGCTCTCAGTGAATCAATAAAAAAATAAATTGAAGTTATATCAAATTGATATCTCTAAAAATATATCACAAATAAAAGTTATTATGAAATTTATTATGGTTATAGCAACCATAAAGTTTACATATGTCACAGTTATAACAATTTTTTAAAATATTTAACTAATTTAGAAAATTGCTCGAAATCGAAAAATTATATATTATTAATTTTGAATAAATTTCATATCAATAAATATATTACATGTTTTTTTTTATATTAATTTTTGCAAAAAATATACTGAAACTGGAATAACAATAAAAGCTTGGGCAAAATGGTTCCTTCTTATTTTGAGTTATATGTTGAAGTTTCGAAGCAGCATATATTTGTATTCTTTCGTATACATTTTGTGAACAAAATGAAGATTGAAGGCAACTAACAAAGTTAGGGTGTTGCTCCCTCCACCACCACCACAGCCTTCTCCCTCCACCTCCCCTTTACTATTTTGTCCCTCAGTAAAATTTTATTTTTAGAATTATTGTTTTTTAATTTTACTCATTTATAACATATTTCACTGATAACCTACGTAGTTCCTTGTATGAGTAAAATATTTTTCTGCAAAGCTCAGTGATCGTGAAAAGAATTATCAAGCAATCTTCCTCTTGCTTTCGGTACAGTACGTGGTGCAGTGCGTTTGTGGTGTAATGTGCTTGTCGTGGTTCCTCTCCAGGTACGTAGTCATAATCCTTCCAATAATCCTAAACCCTAAACCCTAAACCCTTCCAATAATCCTTCCAATAATCTTTCCAATAATCCTTTAACCCTAAAACGTAAAATGAAAACGAAGCCTAAACGGATGACATCCTTTAACGGATGTCAACATCCGTTTAAGGCAAAACGGATGTCGACATCCGTTTCGCCTTAAACGGCGGATGACATCCGTTGAAGGATGTCATCCGTTTAAGCTTTGTTTTAATTTTATGTTTCTGTTATTATTTTATTAGATATTTTAATATTTTGATTTATTATTTTTGAATATTTTTTTAATGTATTTTAATAATGTATATTTATATTAGTTTATATTTAAATATTAAAATATTAAAATAATAAAATAATAAAAATAAAAAATTTTAACTTTAAGGATATAATTGGAATTAAAGATAATTGGGGAGGTGGAGGGAGAAGGCTGTGGAGGTGGAGGGAGCAACACCCACAAAGTTAAGCTTTTGGGCTTTTGGAACAACTAGGATTTGGGCTCAATCCAAAACCATTCTACAAATTATATCAAATAGGTTTAATCATTTCGAAGATCCTTAATACGTATTCGTGTCAATTAGTGTACATTTGTGTCAATTAGGTCATTGTATTACGAAAGAGCTCAGTCTTTTTTTTATGTAAAACTGAGTCAATAATGTTTCTAATGGTTGTGGACGGATATGATTTTAAATTTAAAAAAAAAAACTTTTTTTGGATTATTTAATAAAAACACATAAGGTTAAAGAGCTCCAAATGCGACGAGCCCGGCGAAAGTATAGCGAGGGCACAAGAGCGCGTTTCTACTTCTTCTCTTCATTTTGAATCGTCGAGTGAGGAGGAAGCTTCCTTCTCCTCTTCCTTTTCTGATTTTGATTGGGTTGTAGGAGTTACCGTTTTCTGATTTTTGCGAATTGAGATGGTTGTTGTGCTTCTTTTTTACATATTGAAATGCGTTTTGAAGTATTTCTGTTGCGATATTGGAGTTAGGGTACAGATTGAGAATGTTAAAGTATTGCAGTTTGGGGGAATTTCAAGTTCCCATTTCAAGTTTTCGCGCTAAAGTTCATCTTCCCTTGTTATCTGAAATTCAATGTCTCTCTCGTTCCTTCTTCAATTTCTTTTGCAATTTCTGTTAGGTATTGGCTATTTCGGTCACGGTGTTATCTATTTGAATTTAGTTTACAGTATTTGGTGACAGATTTGTTGATGGTGCAAAGGTGTGTATATTCATTGGATTTTCACTGTTTTGCTCTCTTTTTCCTCACTTTTGATGATGGAGCATAAGTTTTATGAAGTCCTTTTGTCATTAGGCATCAATCAAGTTTCCATCTTCCTTTGTGAAAAACCTAGTTTCTCAATATTTTAGTTCAGATAAGCAAAGGGAAAAACTTTCTGACTACAAAATCGTGTTTTAAGATATCCTCAAAAGAATGACTATCTGTAATAGTACCTACAGGACTAGTACTCTCTGTTCTTCGTCACCAGCAGGCTTTATAATATTTGAAATTAGCCAGTTTAACTATGACTCTACTCAACATCTAGATTCTTCTTCAAGTATTCATAAATCATATACGTAATGTATCAAACATTCCCTTGTAAGATATGTCAACAAAGAGCCCAGAGAAAGGATCAATAAGAAACCTAGAGTAAAAGAACAAAACTGATGCCTCCCTCCCCCACAATCCATATTTCCATTTGGGCGAAAGAGAGCAGAGAAATAACATTACTACTGACACAACTTTATACCTTGTCCTAATAACCTGCAGCGGATAGACACAAGTGGCTCCAAGAGCACCTGAAATTGTCCAACATCCAAGTTGTACTAGAGGACCAGGTTCTGTGAAGGAGAAAAAATAATAGAACTTTTTAAGTTTCAATACTTTTAGAACTGTTAATTTTTAATTAAAAAAATACAAACTGGTCAAATAAAATCATTATGTTCAAGAGATAATATCGTTGCGGTAATATCATACCACTGTCATGAAGAATGTATCTCTTAGATATATCTTTCAAGGTGTCATATACAGTGAGATCAATCCCTACATAGGGAATTATACCCAGAAGAGATGGAACAAGCCCTTGCGGTGGGTGGTGGCCATGGAGACGCTGTCGAGGACGGCGTCGACGGCGATGTTGGCGAGACGCTTCTGCTCGTTGAGAGGAACGCCGAGCTTGTCGAAGTAGCGGAGGAGTTCGGGATCGGCATCTTGGAGGGATTGCAGAGGGCATTTCTTCTTGGGAGCGGAGTAGTAGCAGATCCTTCACCTAGGCGCACACTGTAACGTGAAGGTTTTGAGTGTTTGATGTTTAGGGTTGGGGGACAATGGATTTGGGGTGGTGCGTGGGTTGCGGAGGTAATGGGGAGATGGAAAGGCTGTTGCAGTAGAGAAGAGACGCCATGGATGAGACCCGGAAATAAATTTAATGTGGTGCGAAACAATTAGAAATGTTATAATTGACTGAACTTTACATAAGGATCCAATTGAGTTTTTTAAAAATACGAGAAGCTAATTCACACACGCATAAATAGATCTTTCAAACTCATTAAACCTATCAAATATAATGAAAACAACTAATTTCTCACATCACCGCAATTGGATTTAAATTTCAAAGAATTATAACAAATACCATTAAATTCTCTAAGTAGTAGATATTAATGTAAAATGAATACCCTTCCTGTAAAGGTTTGTGTAAAATGAATAAGGGGTCATTCGGCCTTATGTAGGGCAGCTAAGCCCATCAGCCTAAGGCCAGCTTAATCTTAGGAAGGGCTCATCAGAGTTCTTTTTCATTTTTCTGAGCTCTTTTCTTTCTCTCTCTAGAACCCTTTGCCCTAAAGGTTTTCTCTGACTTCTCTCTAGATTCCGCTGCGTAGAGGGCTTCATTTCTACCGAACGTTTTCTTCATTCCGACCGGTAAGTCATTCTTCCCCTTCTCTTTCACTGTCTTTGAACTTAGGGCATGCGACGTCACTGGTTGCATGTTACTAGCGGGGCTTCATCTTCATATTTTCTGCCAAATAAAGCTCTAAGAGCTGATGTTGTCACCACTTTGATGGTTTGTAGGGTCAGGTTGAGCTCTTGTGCTGTCAAGGGTACTGCTAGGACAATTTCAGTTAGTTGTGCTTGGAGAAACCGGGTAAGGGGAGCTAGTTATGTTTTGTTTGAATTATATGATGTGTATGCTTGATAATTTATGATTGTTTACTGTTGAGTTATATTTTTGTGGTGAGCATGTTGATTTGTATCTGTTGGATGTGTGGAAGTTGTGTAACCATGGTGTGCTGAACATTGTTTGACTTGGATGAGATTTTGGCTGTAATGAATTTTTGGTCTGGAGTAAGAACACTATAAAACAGTCAATATGAGTAGTGGGTGAGTGTACATGTACTGTTTCAGGTTAGTGTGAAGGGAAGTGATGCATTATAATTGGGCAATTGGAGTCTAGAACATATAGTACATTTTGGATGAATTGTTGAGACATGTTTGATGGTTGAATGTAACAAGAAGGTGTAATGGACGTAATTCCATGGCCTCAAGGTGAGGATTCATGGTGGTGCCTCAGTGTGTAGAATGATTGCATGGCAGCTCAGTTTTGGGGGTTTTCCTGAAACTACAATGATCAATCATTCTCAAGTAGAGATGATTGAATCATGTGGTGAGTAGTAGCAGGAGGTCCTAGTCTTTGAAGCTTCCAGTATGCTCCAGGACGCAGAACGGACTAACCTCGTGAGTGTGGTTGGGTGGAACCCATTGGCAACGGCTTTGCAAAGCAGTAGAGGCCACCACGAGTGCATAACCCGCCATAGCTCGACAATCATTCTAGTCCGGATGAGTCGGTTTATAAAGCAACAAGTCTTGTGATGTCATTTTACCATGTTTTGAGTGAACTATGCATGTCGTGTGTGATTGAATAACATGCTTTTTATACCTAACTCACCCTTGCTTGTTTGTGTTGTTTGTGTATGATTCCTTTCGCGATGATCATCCACTTGGATGGGAGCAGATGACGAGAAGGTTCTTTTGGAGACAGCTTTGGAAAATGAAGACAATGTTGTTGTCTAGTCTTCTTAGGGCGTTATTAGTTATTTCCTATATTTTGGAACACTTTTCTTTTTAAGCTTCCAATTTAGACCCTATTTCATTTAAGCTTAAGTTATGGAGTTACTTTGAAGATGACTATAATCTTAATTACTCTTTAGTGTTTTCCTATATTATGCATGATGACGTCTATGCTTTTCAATATAATTGGACGTCACACATGCTAGGAATATAAATTTTGTGTTTAAAAAAGTAAATTGAAATACGCTTTTTTACTTTGTATTCTGAAATATAAAATCTGAAACATACAAAATTTACTCCAAGTTATACAATTTGAAATAAATAAAAAGCTCATGGAGATGCAGTATCAAAAATATTTTTAATTAAACCATTCTCTAAAAATTTGAATTAGAAATTCCAAGTACCTGTTTTAATAACAACAATTAGTAATTTCCAAAGACAAAACGTTTTTTATTCCTGGTTCGTGAGGGTTACTGATTTGATTCCTAGTTCCTTCAGTTTTCTTTCCCCGTCGTTATTAATAATTAACAACAGATAAATATTCAAGTTATCCAATAAATGCAAATAAAAGAGGGAATAATTTTTTTTCAAAACTTTTTTTATGCACGTAGCACAAATTTAAATTGTTCATTTTCCAAAGACTTCCAAAGAGAAATTTTAAAGTATCCAGTGAAAAAAATGCTTTTCAATGGTAATTTTTCAAAACTCAAAGTGTAACTAAGAGCCACATGATAGAGTGTGATATAAATGGCAATTCTAATTCTTCATACCAATGCAATGGTGATATTTTCATTTCTATCAAAAATTTAAAAAAGAAATTAGTGTAAATCCATATGAATTTACATTCAATTAAAACTTATGGAGCGTAATTTTGTTTATTGCAATAATGATCATCATCTTGTCATAGTTGATTTTACGTATATTCTTGAGATAATTTTTTTTTTTTTACTTTTAAGACATTTTAAATTAATTTCACATCTTAATTATTTCAAACATAATGAAAACTAAGACGGGTTTGACAACTGATATTTTAATTTTAATCTTTGCATTTATAAAATTAAACGGAGTAACATATTTAAATGTTTTACTTTTAAAACATACAAACATCGGGCATTTGGTCTAGTGGTATGATTCTCGCTTAGGGTGCGAGAGGTCCCGAGTTCAATTCTCGGAATGCCCCTATCAAATCATTTTTTTCGTTCTTTGTCAATGTGTAACCTCATAACTGAATCATTGTATTTTTCATTAAGCAACCAAATACACACAAAAACTAAACATAACTTAGTGAAATAGAAAGATCAGAGTACTGAATAATGAACTTCCTATTCATTACAGTACCTACACTATAATAAACTTCTGAAATCAAACATAGCCTGTGGAGTAAAAATATATATAACTTCTTTAGGTTTATTCCCTCTAAGCATACTTGCAGTTATCGTAACCTGCAGACAAAGAAAACAACATGAACTAGCTCAGAATCCCAAAACAGACACAAAACATGTTTCAACAAAATCCTCAAATAAACACATGTTACACTTCTTCCCATTTTCTAATAAAGGAACATGTAATGTTTATAAGCTTACTTGGGTCACTGACAGCTATGAGACCTGATCCTGCGAAGTAACAGTTCCAACCATTTCCACCGCTGAATGCATAGTACTGATTCATGACAACAGAAGCATGGTTCAACAGATTGTTGGGGTCGAAGCAGGATCCACCTGGCTGGATCATCTTGCAATCACCCAAGATGCTGCAAGCATACTGAATGTTGTTTTCCAGTGTTGAATCACTCGATGAAGGTTTTGCCACACACCAACTCTTCTGGGCTTCCTGTATTTGAAACAAACAATGAGCTTTCTTCCATATTGATATGCAGAAGATACTTACTCAATTAATGTGATGAGTTTTCACCAATCCATGAGCAAACCTCACATTCCTTCCTGCACAAGTCAACCAATTAATCAAACATTTAAGATGGTCAAAATGAAGTAAAATTTCATGCAATCCTAAGCACTATCGGAACTTAGTCAACAGAAAAAACAGAAGTTGTATTAACGTAGATATATATATATATATATATATAGAGAGAGAGAGAGAGATAATATGAACTTTCAGTGGAAATTGTAAAAGGATAATTCACATGGAAGGAAGCCATGAATTAATTACCCAAGTTATTGCATGAGAGGAGCAGAGGAAAAATGAAAAGAAAAACAAGTGAAGAAGTTGATTTGGCCATGGTGTGAGCTTTGAATTCGTAAAGAGACAAACGATGCTATTTTCCTTTGAGGGGTGCTGTGATGTGAACTGAAAGGGCATGGTATAAATAGAGGAATAGGTAATTACTGTTAATTAATACTTATCAGTTTTAAACCAATTATTAGGTCATTAATTAGATTACACAGCGTTAAAGCGGTTGTAATGTAATGGTAATAACAGTAAGAGAATTATAGAGTTTGTTGGAAGATGAAAGGATAGGTAAGAGAAATTTTAGTGACATATGCAGGTACTGATTTAGAAGATAGGAGAATAGGAACAGAAGAATGCATGTTTTTTCTGCATATATACTTGGAAGGGAAAAAGTTGCAGCTGAAGAAAAATTCTATATAAGCATATGTATTTGATTATTGATGATGGTTCTTATTATGCAATCGTTGTCATAGTTGTAGCCTTACAGAAAATAGAAGCATAATGTTATAATATATGGTGATAAGAGAGGCAAAGCATGACTTGTGAATTAAATTTAAAAGATGGTTACATTTTGAAACACATGCATTCGTTTGTCGCATACTTAGAAAGGAAAATATTACAGCTCAAGGCAATTTCCATGAATATATAAATTCAAATATTCATCGTTATATTGTTATTATCAAATCGTTGTCTTCCATCTTTTAATGCAAATATTTCGATTTTCAATATCTTCATATTCCTTTTTCTTATTGCACGACGTAAATAGAAATATTCCAATACACGTCCTAGCAATGTATAATAACCAATTAATGTNATCTTGGAGGGATTGCAGAGGGCATTTCTTCTTGGGAGCGGAGTAGTAGCAGATCCTTCACCTAGGCGCACACTGTAACGTGAAGGTTTTGAGTGTTTGATGTTTAGGGTTGGGGGACAATGGATTTGGGGTGGTGCGTGGGTTGCGGAGGTAATGGGGAGATGGAAAGGCTGTTGCAGTAGAGAAGAGACGCCATGGATGAGACCCGGAAATAAATTTAATGTGGTGCGAAACAATTAGAAATGTTATAATTGACTGAACTTTACATAAGGATCCAATTGAGTTTTTTAAAAATACGAGAAGCTAATTCACACACGCATAAATAGATCTTTCAAACTCATTAAACCTATCA